GCAGCCTCAGGCCCGTGGTCCCCAAGGCGGCGCTGCGCCCGGACACGCACGCTGGGCCCCTAGCGCGCCTGCGGGCCCCGCCACCCGCGGTGCAGGCGAGGGCTGGCGCCGGGTGCCTGGGGACTGGCTACGCCCGCACTCCCGGAGCACCGAACCCCGACCTTCTTCCTTCCCTTTAGTTGTTTTTGTTGATCCCCCCGCCTACTTTATGTTTCTCTTTTAGCCTCTTCCTTTCTCTTCTTTGGCCTTTTTTCTTTTGGGTTGTTTTGGCAAGTTTGTTTGAAAAGTTCACAGGCGTGCTTTCTTTTCTTTTAGAGAAGGAGACCGTGATCTCACCCTGACGGTAAGATCAAACGTCTCCGCTCGCCCCCAGCCCGCGGGCTTGGGCTCGGTCCAGACGCCTCCCTGAATGCAGATGTGCCGCCGCGTCCTCCCGGCTATAAAGCCGCCTCCCGCGCCTCCGCGCGCAGGAGCGCTCCGAGTTGCGGGCGCAGACCCCGGGCCGGGACCGGAGGCGGGCGGCTGCTGGGCTCTGGGGCCGGCGTGTGTCGCGGACTCGGGCGGGGGCTCCGTGCGCAGTGGATGTCGGCGGCCACAGAGGCCAGAGAGGCGGCCCCTCCAGGCCCGGGAGACGTGGCTGTGGGGCCTGAGACGCTTCTTGCGAGCGAGGAAATGGTGAGTTGGTGGAGGCTGCGGGCGGCTTCCAGATTCTGGTCGCCGTCCTCTTACCGCGCCGAGCGGTTCTCGCCTGGTGGACGGCGGGCGCCTCGCCAGGTCAGTTCCGCTGCACTTGGCTCACCCTCCAATGCCAAGCGCCTGCCTAGGCGCGCAGGCTTGCAGAGCTGGCCGCCGCGCTTCCAAGGCAGGATTTTCTCCGGACTCCGCCGCTCCCCTTTCCTTCTCTTTTTCTTCCCTCTGCTGCTCTCCCAGCTTCTGTTCCCCCAGCCCAGGCCTGAGCCCGGGTCTCCCGGTCGCCTGCCTTCTCCACTGCCTGGTCTTTTCCTCGCCCTCCCCCGCTCAGGCGCAGAGCGCTGGTCGATCCGCCCCAACATCTGTCCGTCCAACCATTGGCGCATCCATCAGTGTCAATGGGCTGCACATCGTAGCAACAGCCCCGTCATGCACAACACGGGCTCTGCGGAGTGCACACCTCGAACGTGCCTCCTTGCGGGAACACGCAAACAAGGTTCCCGCTCGGCTTCCCACAACCTGGAACAGTGTTCTTGTAGCCACATGCACCCTAATTCTTAATATCAGCACCCCGAAACGTAAATAGCTTAGTAGAGCATCTTAGACATGGGACAGATGGCAGGGGACATGTCAATTCCAATACTACACTCAGTGCTAAACCACACGTTCCAATAGGTTCTGTTGGTCCTTCTTCCTCTAGGCCGGGTGTACCTAAGAATAAAAGCAAGAAGGCTTCTCAGATCGGCACCTGGCACAGTGTAGACCCAGAGGCTTCCTGAATGCGGGAGCCAAGACCCGTTTCAGAGCTTAAGGAAGCCTTCCAGGTCCCCAGACAGGGCTCACCCAGGAGGTCTCCCTGGAAAACTTTGCCAGAAGCAGCCTGCCGGCTCTGGGCATGACCTGACAGGGAAGAGCAGGGGAGGGAAAGAGGAGGAAGCCTCTGCCGGAGTCCTTTTGAGAAGCCGGGGCTCCTCTTAGGGGAAACTGGAATTGGAGTGGCAGGTAGTAATTCACATGTAATTTACAGAGAAGAAAGGACAGTGCTGTATCTTTAATTTTTTTTTTTTTTTTAAAGCCAGAACTTTAAGGGTAGTTGCTTGCACAGGCTCAGGGGGGAGGGAGGCAGGAACCTGGACTGTGGTTGCATGTTCCTCCTGCTTTTGCTTGATCCCGCCCTCTTCCTCACCTGTCCAGAGGGTAAACATATGTGCACAAACCCCTCATCAGTCTGACCCAGCTGAAGGACCTACTGTGGCCCTCATTTGGGGTCCTCATTAGCTGGGAAGCCTGGCATTTTACCAGGCTTTATCACTCCTGCAAATGAGCCCTGGTGGTGCATTTCTAAAGTGCTCAGCTGCTAACCAGAAGGTCTGAGTTCCAGCTGCTCCCAGGGAGAAAGTTGTGGCAGGCAACTTTTTGTGGCAATTACAGCCTTGAAAGCCATAAGGAGCAGTTCTAACCAGATTCTGTAAGTTGCTGTGAGCCCCATTGAACTCAAAGGCAGTTGATTTGGTTGGAACCATGCTGCAGGTAATTCAGAGCAGGATCTTGGTAAATTCTGCCCCTCACATGTCACTGCACAAGGGAACCAAAGCCTGCCGCCCAGCCAGACTGCTCTTTCCACGTGTGAGAGTTGTTAGGACCTAAGGACAGGACTGGTTCTCTGACACGCACAGAGGTCTCTGCAGCTTGCAGGAGGCCAGAGTCTGCCTTGAAGTCGCTCACAGGGGCTGGTTCTCACAAGACTAAGGGAACCACGCTTTAAGCTGCAGGCTTTGCACACCAGTCCAGCTGCTGCACCACTAAACTATGGAGGGTGAAAACGCCCACTCCCAGCGGAGGAGCTAGAATTCTGGACACATTGCACCTGCAGAAATCTTTCACCTGACTGAAGAGTTGAAGCTTTTGAAAAGCAGCTACAGTGTTAGGCCCCCATATAAGGACCCTAGTAATTTATCCATTTAGAAAAAGCCAACTTCTAAGCAAATTAGGTCCTCCCTCCTCTAGAAGTCCTACATTCCTGGGGTTAATCTTTTTAACCCTGAAACACAGGAGGAAATAGGCTAAGGGCAATTGACTATCTCATTAAAACATCCCATAGCAAGCACTATAGGGAAAACAAGAGCTCTTTAAGCCATGGCCAGGTGGCTTACGCAGAAACAGCATAGTAACATTTATGAACCCAGAACATGCACAGGGGTCCTACCTACCCCTTTCCAAGATTGTCTCTGATCCATTAAAAAGCCTCTCCTTTCTTGAAGGGGTTTTAGCAGCTTTCAGTAGAAATACATCCAAAGACAGCTGCTTCATTCATGACAAGGGTTAAAACTTGAAACTCCAAGAGCCCTAGTCCCTGGCCCTGCCTAAGTCTGGCCTAGCTGGGAAGCTCTTGTGCCCAAGTCTGATCAGAGACCACCACCACCACCGCCTGGGCAAGCTGAAAAAATAAAGTCAAGAGCAGGTGCTGTGTGGACCCAGGGGCAATGCTTGACAAGGAAGGAATGTATCTGAGGTTGAGAGTGCACCTCAGCTACATTCCTTCCTTGTGCTGGACATCTTGTTTCTGGA